AAAAGCTCAAGGAACGGACGTTTAACCGCGCAGACTTTCCAGGAAAGCCCATTTCGTGTTGGGATGGAATCGGCTCGTTTATGCTGTGATTTCACTGAAAGGCTCATCTTGAAGCAACAGATCAGTTGATCGGTCGTGGCTCGAGCCGATCAAATCTCTGCAGCTGATCAGGAAGTTTAACTCCTGCTGAAGCCACGAGGTTAAAGCCGTCAGGTTTCATGCAGATCTGATGTCGTCGAAAACAAAAGCCAAGAGGAAACCTGCTTAAACTCTAAAACGTCACGTGGATCTGTTGCTTTACAGAAACAGAGGCAGCGAATCATCGTTGACCTGCAGCTGGAAGACAACTTTGTTTTTAGAAAACATAAAATGATGTTTAAAGAGTCGGCTGTGACCTCCCCTCTCCTCCCACTAACGCTCCTTGTGATCCGAGAGGAAAGCTTTCATTATTTGCTGAGATTGGGATGTCAATCCATGCCGCCTCTGACCCAAGTCTGGAGCCCCTCCCTTTGCTTATACTGTGGGAAATGATTATCTCCCCTCCACCCAATGTGTGAAAAACATTTAAATCTGTTTTTTTTTATCACATAAAACGAGTCAAAACCTATAAGTTTGGTCTAAAATCCCACTGTGGCGTTCACGTAATTAACATAGCTCATTTTTATTTGTTAAAAATAATCATTTCACTATGAGAAAAATTGTTTTTTGTAAATATAAGTGGATTTTATTTGTTTTGCACCATTTGTTTCAAAATGAACTAAATGCACACGGTCTGCAGGATACAAGCATTGGGGAATAAATTCCTTTTCTGACTCTGAACAGATTTAATCACTAACATGAAAAAGGCACATTTCGCTTATATGAACTGTAAAATTAGATCTGCTCGTTTGTCTGAATATTTTTAATTGATCTATTTTTCATCTTCCCTTGTGGATTTTTTAAGAAAGCAAACAGAGTTGGAACAATGGAAGCTAAACTAAAATGGGGGGAATTGCAGCTTCCTCCAGAACAACTTTGATTTGCTCCTAATCACATCAAGAAATATACATCTTGTTTTGTATTCCTTTATTTTTACCCTTTGAATTATTGTTATTATTATTAGGGGTCCCTGGGATTAGGGGGAGTCACTGATCCGCAGTCTGTAAGCTCTTTTTTTTTTTTTTTCTATCCTCCATCCGCACTTCATTAACCCCGAGCCGGGGATTTACCCCCGACAGCCTTTCACATGGAAATAAAAGAAGAAATGTGAGTCATGAGTTGAGCTGCGCCTCTTCCCTTCATGCGCACTTTGCAAGTATCCAAAAAAAAAGAAAGAGGCGTCGTTACCCAAATCGGTCACGCATCCACATGATGGGACTATAATGAAGTTCTGATGAGGGGGGAGGTATTTCCAAGCCTCCCCCCTCTCCTTGTTAGCCCCTCTTTACCTCACCTTGCGCTCCAAGTTGCCAAAAACGCGCATTGTGATTCCATTTACGCACCACGAACGCGCAGAGTTCTCAGGCCGTCAGTTTGATGTTTCACGGCTTGGTCAGCCACCCATGGGGAGGGGGGAGTGGGGAGGGGTGGGGGTGGATAACAGGTGCCATGCGCGGGCGACAGCAGGGGGAGCTGGCTATCAAACCCATCATCGACTTTCAATTAAAACCTATTAAAGTCTTTTGTCTAATCGTTAACATCCTACAAGCCTGAACTCCTTTAACCCCCCAACGCGCCGCGCGGGGCGGATCGTTTGGGTCCACACAGACTGTGGGGGGGTCACGGTGGAGCCGCTGACCAGCTGTCCCCGCGCTGATCCCCGGTCTGCAGTCAGCTCCAGCCCGGCCACCAGCTGTTGGAGCCGTTTGGCTGAGGCGCACGCGCGTCCAGCGAGCCTCCAGGAGAGGGAGGAAGGATGGAAACAATCAATTCTCCAAAATGGGGGAACATTTAAGGCACTTAAACAATTGCGCGCATGACATTAATATTTCATCTCCCTGCGTTGTTTGTGGAGATGGGGCTAATTCAGGAATAAAAAAAAATGGTGTTGGGGGTGGGGGGGGGGGTGTCTTAGATCTCACATGAATGAGGAAAATAAAAATATCAATGATTTTTCATCCTTTCCAGCTCTTAAGTGCAGAAAAAATATATAAAACAAAGTTGGGGCTCAGATTCTTAAACAATTTAAAATCGATATTACTGATAAATGTCATAATGACGTCATCAACCCATCACATCTACCTCTGTGTGCTCAGCGCTCATGTAGGAGGTGACATAAAGCAAAACTGGAGCTCATATTACCCTGAATTAGAGAAAATATATCAAATTTACTGATAACAATACGACGATAATATCAAGTATTGATGAAAAATGTTTTTATCTTTTAATTGTTTCCACCTGAGTGTACAATCATAACTGCGTTCAGGAAAATTAAATAAATAAAACTTTGTTAAAGCTCATATTTAATAAACACTCAGGAAAGACAAACTATTTACAATATTAACGATAATATCGATAATTGTAGAGAAAATAAACAGAAAATAAGATTCCCGTTGTTTCTGTCGCAATCAATTTTTTTTTAGATAAAACAGAGTGGGGGCTAAAATTTAATTTTTACCATGAAGAGCAAAAATATATTTAAGTTTATCGATATTATCAATAAACGATGCAACGACGATATCGACTATTGTAGAGGCAAAGTAAAAATTGTGTTTTTTTCATCTATCTTGATATTGTGCTCATAACTTTAGATAAAAATTAAACAAAGTTGGTAGTTAAATGTATATACCCTGAAGAAATAAAATAATTTCAAATTTACCCATGTTACGATAAACGATACAACAATATTATCGATAATTGTGAACAAGATAAGAATATGTCTGTCGTTTCCACCTCGATCTTCTCTGCAGTCCTAACTGCAATCTTGAAATGATTCGATAAAACAAACTGCGGTTAAAGTTAATATTTATGTTTAAGAAGGCAGATTATTTCAGATTGATCGACTTTACGATAAACGATATGACAATGTTATCGACTGTTGATGATTAAAGAGAAAGGAGTTTTTCTGTTATTTTTGCATGTAGTTTGCAATCAGAACAATATTCAGGAACAGATTAACAACATTTACTCTTATTACTGCAAATATTCTAAATCTAGATGTTTCCGAAAAACAATATGGCAATGTTATTGGGGATCAAAGAGGACGCGATGTATTTTAATGATCATAATTGCATTGCAGGAAAAGATTAGATAAAATAACTGGATATAAAATTTGACATTTCAGGTAAATAATAGAGAAACGAGGAAGACGGGTGCGTTTTCTGTCGTAAAATGATTCAAACAAGATGAAACTGAACAAAGTTAATTAATTTTTTTAAACAAGGTTTAAAAAATATCGATATCACGGCTAAGTATTATCGATAATTTAGATAAAAAAGGAAGAGTGGTTAGTCAGAAATCAGAACCTTCAGGAAAAGAAAAGAAAATTTGACCTGAAAAGTAATAAACGGCTGAAAAAGTCTGTTTAAATTTCACTGATATCGTCGATAAATGATGTTAAACAGATATTAATTATTGAAAATGTAAATGTTTAACTCTAGCCCAGCCGTCTGACGCGCCTCCTTTTAGAAAGGTTAATAAAAAAAGATGTTAACCCGCTCTTTACTCTTTTTATTCCCGCTCCAGTTTTATGAACATTAAACAAATAAAATCTAAACCAAACAGGAGAGGAAAAACCGAGCGACGCTCAGAATCACTTTTCCCACGAACTAAACAAACCATCCTGCTTTTAATTGATATTTATTCAGATAAAAAGACTTTAATTCAGAATCAGTTGAAGTTTGGCTGAAATATTCTGCTCCTGTCTCTGCTGCCCAGTTTATATTTGGCTTTAAGATGAAAACTAATCTTCTAAAAAGCTTAAAAGATGTTTTTTGATGTCTCCTTCAGAGAAGTCGGTCCAGATTTTAAGGCTCGAACTCAAACCCACGTGTTGATTCCACCTCCAGACAAAACTCAAAGCAGCAACAGGATTAAACCAAAGACTTGTTGTTTTTTTTATTTGCACATTTATAAAAGTAATTTCTCTTTTACATCGAATCCCCCTCCTCGCCCCCCTCTTCTTCAGCAATTAAAGAGAGGAGGAAGAGGATGGGGGGTTAAAATCTGAGGGAGCGAGAAGACCAAAATTAACAAAAATATATAAAATATGACCCGGGAAATATACGAAAAGCACTCCACAAGTTTGATATCTGCAATGTACATTTTTCACCAAAGGAGAGTTGGAACATTTATCACAGCTTCATCTGAAAACGAACAGAAGGAACGCACGACGTCTGCTCAAACACGACGGACCAACCCATCCACAACCCATTAATAAGCAATTAATCCGTTCAAAATAATTTCATAAATTAATATGAACCATCACTTTCCCCTCTGTGTCCATAGATGGAGAAAACTGGAGAAATTTACTCTAAAACTTGTTAAAAACAAAACAAAAATCTTATAAGATTTGTTTCTTTCTGGTTTGTTCTTTATTTATTTACTCTTTTATTTACTCGTTGTGTTATTTATTTGGGCTGATTTGATATTCTGCTAAAACTGGATTTTAAAAAAACAAAAGAAAAGTTTCTTTAAAATCAGTGTCTTCCGGTTAAAAAGCAAAATATTCTTATTTACAAGAAAAGAAAACGATTTTCCTCTGGATGCCCCAACTGTTCAGATCAATGGAAGGGCTTTATTTAATACTAATAATAATAATAATTATTATTATTTTTATTGGTCTGATCTGTACCTTTTGAAGTCTGAGAACTGAATAAATATTCAACTTAAAGGTCTCTAAAATAAATAAACAACATATAAATAACACGTGTCCTTTCGGACGGATCAAATTACAAAGAATTAAATAAAAAAACAAAAACTCCGGAAGTCGGTTCGGATCCGCTCCGTCCTCAGAGTCCATCCGGTTCCGACCCCCCCCCCTCCCCCCCCGAAAGGCCCAGAAGTTTCATTCATCTTATTTTTCTCTCTTTTGTTCATTTGAACGAGTTCCAGTGTTCGAGTCCCGGCGGCAGGGACGGGCTCACCGCTGCTGCGCGGGCCGGGGAAGGACGCCGGACATGGGGGGCAGAGGAGGGGGCGGCGGCGGCTCGCTGCCCCCCTGCAGGCCGTGCAGCAGGATCCGCGGGACCAGGGGTCTCTGTAGGGCCGGAGGGGGCGCCGCCGAGGGGCCCCTGTACAGGTAGAGGGCCGCCCCGGGGTCCAGGTTGGACACGAGGCTCTGCGGGTAGAAGTAGGGGGAGGGGAACATCCGCTGCAGCGCCGAGTAGTTCCCGGCCTCCGCCAGCAGCTCCAGGCCCACCGCCGTCTGCCTCTTCCACTTGGTCCTGGAACAAACAAGACACCGTTTCAGTCCTCGGCTCCGGGACGCTCCGCCGCGCCTGCGTCCAACTGAAGGCTCGCGGGCCGGACGTGGCCCTCGGCGGGGACTTTTTTCGGCCGTTATTTTCACATTTTTCCACTTATCCTGTCGAGTTGCAAAATAAGCAGTGCTGACTTGCTAAAGCCAAGATAATTAACTTTAAGTTAAAAAGAAACAAGTTTTTAACGGTTAAATGATGAGTGACCGTAAATTAGATGTTTTGAATTAAACTAGAGCAACTTGTTAATATTTGAGACGTTTACAAATATACAGCTTGTGTAGTAAAGTTTACTCTCTTTTTTTATGCGGACATCAGCTGCCATTAAATGATTGTGAATTTTAGCTTTTAAATAAAACACCAAATGTTTTACAGTTTCATCACACGCTTTAACTAAAACAATGGTCTTCAAAGTATTTAACGGGTTTTTGACTTAACACAAGTATAATATTGTAAACTTAACTAGATTTTTAAATTATTTTTCCCCCAGTGTTTATCAAAGAACCAAAAAAATCTGCTTAAATTTGATTTATTTTGTATTGCAAATAAACAGTTTAGTTTTTTTGTTTTTTAATCAAGCTGATTTTTTGGGTTATTGTTAATTATTTTACTGAAAAATAAATTTAAAAAATGCTGATAGAGAGCGAATAATGCATTTAAAAATATATTTTAGTAAGTAAAAAAATGAATATTCTACATTTCATACCTTGTAGTAAAAGTAATTTATATTTTATGAAAATAATCTGACATATTAACATGGATTTGTTTGATTTTTCCTGTGAATTCTGACAGAATTTGGCCCTCGGCGAGGACAAAGTTTTTAATTTGAGGAACTCTGCTCCTAAATAAAACTCTGTCTGTTGGTCCAATTAGATGTCGGCCATGTTCTGCTTATCCCCCCCCCCCCCCCCCCATAAATAAATAAATAAATAAACGCATAAATAGCTCTCCATCCAGCCACTTGTGTTCGCACCCAAACATCTTTCAGCTCCACGCAGGTAAATAATTCATAATAAAGATAATTGAGCAGATATAGTCGTTTCTCTGAATTATTAATCTGCACACATGCAACCATGAATTATTCATAAACAAGTCAAACTGTGAGAGTTTTAATTTTTATATCTATTTATGTCTTTTATCTGCTGCAGAATTGGAGAAAAACTGAAGATTTTCTTCTGTTTTCACCTTTAATTGAAGCCTTTCTTTATGCTGAAGACTTTTTAATTTGTTTCTTTTTTAAATTTAATTTAGGATTATTTTAAATTTAAGACTAAGTAAATTGCAAATAAACTGAATCTCTTTATTTCTTTGCTGATTAATTGTTTTAAGAGCTTAAAATGATGCACAGGAGCTCCTTACTCCTGCGATTTGTGTTTTTTAGGTTTAATATTCGAGGTAAAATTAGAAAAATAAATAGTTTTTAATGATTGATTTAAAATTAATAACAAAAACAGAAAATGTTCAGACTTTAAAAGTTCTGTTGGGTGACTAAATGTGACATAAAAAATAAAAATACAGATATTAGTCCCAAGTCTTGCAGAAACAAGGAGGATTAAAGTGGTATATTATTATTATTATTTAATTTGAGGGTGGGAGCTCGGGTCCTGCTCACCTCCGGTTCTGGTACCAGGTCTTGACCTGGGTGTCGGTCAGGTTGAGGGAGGCCGCCAGCTCCATGCGGTCCTGGACGCTCAGGTACTTCTGCCGCTCGAAGCTGCGCTCCAGCTGCGCCAGCTGGTGGTCCGTGAAGGCGGTCCGGGCCTTCCGGGGCTTCTTGAGCCGGACCTGGGGACTGTCCCTGCTGCTGGAGATCTCCCTGTCCCCCTCCTCCTTCACTGCGGAGGACACGGAGACACCAAAATAAAAGTCAAATACATTTAATCAAATAAACGAATTATTTACTGTGCAACAATTTTAGCTTTAATTCCCTTTAAATTTTAGCTCAATTCAAATTAAAATATTTTTAATGAGCTAAAACGTCTTATTTTAAAAAAAAAAACACACAAATAAGTTAAATTATTTAAATAGATAAAAAATTGCGCTTTTAAAAGTTAAATTTTAAATAAATTACATTAAAAATACTTGATGTTTAAGGGACTTCCGGTTTGATTTGACCTTGTAATATTTAAAAATTAAACTTTTTAGTCTTTTTATTTGTTTTTGTTTTTTTTCTCGTGGGGACAAAGACAGTTGGACACGTCTGAGAGTTGGACACAAAGCAGGAGACACCGGAGCAGAGACGGTGGAGGTAATAATCCTCCTAATGGAGCCACGAGGGAAGGGAGCGCGCGCCAAACCGGGAGAGCGCGAGACGAGAACAGAGTCAGGTCCGCGGGGCGTTCAGGGCGGCGGCTTTATGTGGGAAATCAAAGCTTTGGCTTCATTAATCGATCAAATAATAATAAAACACTCGGAGATTTATTATTTTACTTCCAAAAAACGGATCAAAATAAAATATAAGTAAATGATTTAATCTTATTTTCTAATTAAGTACTTTTTCTGGCCTCAGACACTTTCCCTGCTGCTCGGACGTGTCGGATGAGGGACATGTCCCATTCTGTCCCACATGATGGACACTCCTGTTCAGAAGCAACAACTTTAATAAACTCATTATTGCCAGAAAATATCGGTTTTATTTCACGTAAATTATTTTATTATTAATATCAAGCTCAGCTTAACAACAAAATTAATACAGCTATTTAAATTTTACAAGTCTGATTTTGTTTTAAAATAAAAAATAATATATGAATTAAATAAGATAAAAATAATTAGTTTAAGTTTGTGAACAAACTAATTTGTTTTTATTTAAATTTAAAGTTTTTTTATTACCGTTTTTGTATCGCATGACAAATTTAATTTGATTGACATTTAATTTAATTATTTTTACATTTATTTAGTCATATTTTACTGAATTTTACACAATAAGTAAAAAGCATAAGTTTGTGTGTTTACATCTCGCAGGATGAATTTAAAGACAACTGAAATAAATAAATGTCGTTTTCTTTAACGCTCGAGCGGCGTGCGGCGCGTGCTCGCGAGTTGACCTTTGACCCTACCTTTGTACTCGCTGTCTGAGGACGAGTTGCTGTGGATCTTCTCCAGGAAGTCGTCGGTGATCTTGGCCTCCTGCGCCGGTTGCCCGTTGCTGGAGTAGGGCGCGCACGCGGCCAGAGGCTTGCAGTCCGCCAGGATGTCCCGGATGAGGAAGGACGACGTGACTGTCCTCTGCTGGGACACCTGCGCGTGCTGCAGGTGCGGCGGCAGCGCCGCGCCGTGCGCCCCCGCCGCCGCCTCCTCCGCGCACTCCCTCCGGGGCGACGGGGGCGACGAGCAGCCGCTCTCCGCGTCGGACCGGGGGCTGAAGTCCAGGGGCGAGCGGCACCCCGCGTCCCCCTTGGACACGGGGCTCCCCGGCCGGTGGGACAGCAGCGAGTCGATGCCGAAGCTGGAGCCGTTGTTGGCGGACCCCTCCATGGTTCTGGTCGCGGCCTCTCCTAAACGACCATCTGGGTTCAGGTCCGAGGTTCTGCTTCTCTCTTGTTTTACTTGAAGGAGGAACTGTTAGGTCCCGGTCCAGACACGCTCCGGTTCTGGTTCTGGTTCTGCTCAAAGAATATCTCCAGGTTTAACTCCGCGCCGCGCAGGTGAAGAAAGCCGGGTCGGTTCTGGTTCCTGCAGGACTCCGGGAGGATCTCAGGACCGCAGCCCGAGCGGCTGCTGGTTCTTGGGTCCGGCTCGGTTCAGCACCATGGAGAGAGACGAGCAAGCTCCTCGTGTGGACGCGCGCGCGGCAGCTGAGGAGAACTGCCGGCATTCCTTATGAGAATCCTCAGAAGCCTTTTTTTATTTTATTATTATTATTATTTATTAAATTAATAAAAGTAGAAGAGTCCAGGAGCTGCAGGGAGGAAGAGGAGCGGAACCGAGTTACAAAAAATAAATAAAATAAAATAAATAAAATCATCAGGAGGACGAGGTGTGATCAGGAGGGAGGGAACCCCAAAATATTCAACTTGAGCAAAAGTCAGGAGCTGCGGTTTTAAGAGCGCCTGGTCCACGTGAGCCCCCCGGAGGAGCCTTGATTGGCTGAGGGGAGCTGGACCTCCCTCCTCCTCCTCCCCACCTCCTGCCTCCTCATCCTCACTTTGATAAAAGAGACACTGGCTTCATGAGGAGCCTCACATCCAACTGTTTACAGGCAATTTTCAGCCTGTTTGCTTTCATTCCATCATTGATGAGACTCATTATGAGCTGCTTCCAAAAAATCTACTTCCTGCAGGAAGCAGGAAGCGCTTCCTGCAGGCTCTCAGTTTTTAGCTCTTCCGTTATTATTATTTTTTTTACATCCTTTTTTGAATCTGCTTATTTATCTGATTTGGATCATTTTAAGGGCTTTTTATTTTTATTCTTCTTGTTTCCACTCTCCGCCGTTCAAACTGTCAAATGTTTAATTTTTACAAAATTATTTGTATATTTTTGTAGCATTTCATGTAAAAAAATGTTTTTTTGCAATAAATTGCAGCTGTTTATTTATTAACTCAACTTTTTTCCTCCTCCTCCTCCTCCTCCTCCTCATTATTATTATTATTATTATTATTATTATTACTGAGTTTGTTCCTATTTACTCTGAATTTATCAGATTTTTTTTTTTTACATTTTCTTGCCAAATATTTTAGCAATAATTAATCATTTTTGTATTTTTTGCAGATTTTCTCCACTTTTTAATTTTTCCTGTTCAAGTTCACATTTTTATGCGAATTATTAAATTTTATTTTACTTTATTGACAGTTTAATTTGTCTTTTTAACCAATCACTGCGTCTCTTATTTTATAATTGCGCCTCATACAGACGCGTCCTGATCTTTCTGTTTGTTTGTTTGTTTGTTTTAGTGAAAAACACATTTTTCTTTGTCTGAGCAGGAACTCTTTGACTCTAATAGTTTGAAAGTGTCCAAACTTCGGTGCGTCAAAGCGCCTTTGTGCCATTTTCTCCCCTAACATGCGTGAAATACCATTGTGCGCACAACAGTTTGCCCCGCGCCCCGGCCTCGACAGCCCCTAATAATCTATCTCCCCCCCCCCCCAGCATTGCCCCCCCCCCCCCCACACACACACACACACAAACGCGCACCTCCTCCTCCACCCCATGTGACCACCAGATTGGAGGCGCGCGTCGGTCTCGCAGACACCGGCAGGTTAGTGAATCCGCTCCGCGCTCCCATGGGGTCCCATCACGGCTGCAAGCTGTCACATACGAGGCGTGGACAACGCGCGCGCACGCACGCACGCACGCACACTGACTTGGCTGTTTGTTTCTCCTCTGCTGGTGCATGAAACAGGCGCAGTGGTTTGATGTCCTGCGCCCACAGGCTCCATAAAGTTGTGCTGAATTAATCATGAGGAGCTTCTTCCTCTTTGTCACCAAACTTGAAGATGCCCCTGAAAGTCTTCTCTTAATTGGGTTTTATTTTATTTATTTACACTCGGATTAAGAGGTGCTTCCCTGCAAAGTTGTGAAGAAACTCTTGTGTTCTTAAATTAAAACTCAGGTGTTTGTTTACCTGCAGCAGCAGCTGAAGAGACTGAATCAGGTCAACAATGAAGGAGCTGGTTATGTTGGAGAAGTCAGACAAATTGCATGTATTTGTACACCTTTGTTTATAAAGTATGCAGGTAAATGTACTTTGTTTACACTGAGTGCGTACCTGCGTTTAAATATGCCCAAACTGCCAATCTGATGAAGCTCAGGAGAACAGTTTTATGTTTAATTTCCATAGATGAAACTGTGATTTATTATTATTATTATTGCAATAAATAAAATATTTAATGTCTTAAAAGATTAAACAAATGATTTAGTTTAGGTTGTAAATTAATAATTTGATTATTTCTTTAGGAAAAGTACACATAAATAATTAAATCAGTTGTAATTTCTTTTTAACATCTGAATTAATAAAGCTTCTCATCAGACCGATCTATCTTTATTATTAACTCGAGCTTTTATTTTCTTTTTGTAAAAAAACATTTTTAATAAACATTCACACATTTTGACTTCACTCGCTTGAAATTTTCATTAACGCAGGATAAAGCTGCAAATTTTTAAAATTTCACACCCAGTTCATCACCAACACGAAGCAGAACGTATGAATAATCTCAAATAATCTGCTGGATCACTGATGCTAAAACAAAAATGGCAGCAGAGTTTGAGCCATTTTGCCTTTTTTTATTATTTCAGAGCACACGAACCATCGATGTCGTCACGTTGTGGGAGCTTTGAACCGGGAACGCACGAGGAGCCTTTAATAAAAACTAAAAGTTAATTTAAAGAAGAGTGACACTATGAAAATATTACAAAAAATAAGCATGCACAATGATGAAGAGCTGATGAGCAGAGCGGAGGCAGGTGGGAGTGGGCGGGGCTTGGTCAGTCAGTGAGAGGAGCATAATAAACTTTAAACAGACAAAAAGCTCACCATGACAACCAAGACAACAAAAAGTGATTTATTTTTATTTTTGTTAAATTTTCTGGATTTCGTTGTGAACAACTTTAAAGTTTAGTTAGTTTTGATTAAAGACTGGAACAAGCGAACGCTTATTTAAAGCTTTAGATCAGATTTAAAAAAGGAAAGCTGCAGGTTCCTATAGGCAACCTCAACTTAAAGATGTGAATCTTTGAACGGAGATAAACGGCACGGTGCGTCACCGCAGCAGCCAAACCTACCTGTCGGTTTAACAATCCACCTGCAGACTTGTGTGTTTTTTAGTTGCTCTTGTATTGGTCTAATAACGCCTGCTGCGCTTTTATTGTGAATGTTTTTGAAGCGATCCATTTTTCTTCCGTACTTTTTTCAGCATCGTTCTCGTTCCACAGTTTCGTGCCATTTCAGCAAATCATAAATCAAAAAGTTCGGCTCTTTCAGGACAATCCTGCTTTGACTTTTTGCATTGGTGCAACTTTAGCTTTTTTTGGAAAATTTAGCCTTTTCTGGCATTTTTTTCTCATAGAAAACGAATTGAGCTCATTTTACCTCCTTCAAATCTTTAGTTCTGTTTACAACCGTTTACTGCTCCTTTCACATTTTTGCTCTGCTTCAGCTGCTTTCAGCTTCCTGCTGCAAATTTAAACTTTTTTTCAGCTACTTTCAGCTGTCTTTTCAGCTGTTTTTTTTGTGCTCCTTTCAGGTTCTTTCTGCTAACTACAACATTGTTTCGCTTCTTCTAACTTCTTTCTGATATTTCAGCTTGTTCTGTTCCTTTCAGCTTATTTCTGCAAGTTTAGGCTTTTTCTGCTATTTCAGCTGATAGCTGGTTTTATGCTAATTTAAGCTTTTTCGACTAATTCCACATTTTTGCACACTTTTAAACTTTTTCAGCCTAATTCAGCAAAAATGTGCTCTGTCCACTTCCTTCTGGTAATTTCAGCTTCCTTCTGATTTTTCAGCAGTTTTGTTGTTGTTGATGCTAATTTCAGCTTTTTTTTCTGAATTTCCTGTTTTTTGCTCATTTCTGCTTCTTTCAGCCTAATTTGGAAAACATTTTTCTTTCTTATGCTAATTTAAGCTTGTTCTACCTTTTCAGCTACTGCTCATTTCAGCTGTTTTCAGATAATTTCATGTTTTTCATGGTAATTTCTGCCACTTTCAGCCTAAATAACTTATTTTTGATAATTTCAGCTAGTTATACTCTTCAGTTTTTTTCTGCTATTTCAGCTACTTTTTACTTGTTTTCTGCTAAATTGAGCTTTTTCAGCTAATTCTACATTTTTAACTCATTTACCTTTTTTCTGACTTTTCAGATACTTTTCAGCTATGTTTTCCTAATTTCAGCTTCTTTTTTTTTAGCTAATTTCCTAATTTTTGTGGTCAATTCTGCTTATTTAAACCAAATTCAACAAAAATGTGCTCTCCACTTCCTTCTGGTATAAGCTTCTTTCTGATTTATTAGCTACTTTTCAGCTGTTTGTTGTTTGCTAATTTCAGCTTCTTCTTTTTTTTCAGATATTTTTGCACTTTTTTGTGCACACTTCTGCTTCTTTCAGCTTAATTGTGCAAACATGTTATTTCTGCTTTCTTCTATTAATTTAAACTTACCTTTTCAGCTATCTTTTTATTATCATTTTTTGCAAATTTCAGCCGTTTTCAGATAATTTCATGTTAATTTCTGCTACTTTTAGCCTAATTCACTTCTTTGTTTCAGCTTTTTCTGCTCGTTCAGCTACTATTTAGCTCTTTTGAGCTAATTTTAACTTTTTCAGATAATTCCACATTTCAGTTCTTTCCGCTTCCTTCGGGTAGTTTAAGCTTCTTCCTGCCTTTTCAGCTACTTTTCAGCTCTTTTTCTGCTAATCTAATATATTTTTTGTTAATTTTCTAATTTTTGTGCTCATTTCTGCTGATTTAAACCTAATTCAGCAAATGTGTGTTGTTTCTGTTGTCTTCTGCTAATTTAAGCTTGTTTTTCCGTTTCAGCATGTAGTTTTAGTTAATTTCAGCTGTTTTTCAGCAAGTTCTTCAGCAATAAGCATTCTCACTGCATTTTCACAGGAAATGCAGTTTCTCTAGCTTTTTTTTTTTTTTTTTGGAAACAAAGACAAAACACCGTGCCACATTTTATTTACCGCCGAGCCGGCGTGTTAAATACGTATCCGGGCATGTTTTGTAGGAATGCGTGTCGCCTTTGAATAAACTTTGGCATCTCTATCGTTTTGGAGCGTGTCTTTCGAGGAGATGGGGGGGGCATACGTGTAAAACAAACAAACAAAAAGATGACGACTCCTCACAGCAAACAAACAGCA